GATATATATAAATTATCTGAAATTATATGCAGAAGTATATAATAGCATCCCATTTCTAAGAAGAGGTGTTATAATTTTTTTCCAGATTTTGGGGGCTTACTGACCCAGAAAAGGTTTAGAATAACTGAATTGTATTTTTGGATTCAATTTCTAAGGCCTCTTCCATCCTAACATCCCGTGATTCTAACAGATCTCTCAGATCTCTCCTTCCATCTCTAATATTCCATAATTCCAGCAGGGATGGAAGAAATGGATTAGAGATCTAACATTCCACGATTCCAAGTACCACAAGTGTTCATTCCTTTTCCTGAGAAGAAAAGGACAAATTTTAAACGTGGAATTCTAGGATCTTTATAACTTAATCTCCACCAACCTTCCAACCTCATCTCTTACCCCTTCCCCACAACCGCTTACCCATGTAGCCTGAAGTTTCCATAAAGTTTTGCTTTATGTAAATGTACAGGCAATGTCTTCTACCCGGAATGCCCCCAAACTCCACCCTTTTTCTTCTGGAGTCTCAGCTGGAAGGTCCTCTCCCCAGTGAGGCCCCTGGTTCCTACAGCAAGGTCTGGTGTGCTCCCTGAGCCCTGGAAACTGACTACCTGTTACTACACAGGAAATAGGACTGTTGGTTCACTCTGGGCAGCAAACCCAACTGCCAAGGGGTCTGACAGGACAAGTAAAGGTTTGAAGCCAGTAGGCATAGAAAACATTAAGTCCCTGTTTCTCCATCATTGAAAAGAAAATAGAGAAAAATATCAGCTCTAAGGAAAACAACAACCCGAGAGTAACAGTAAATGCAAACAACATTCTGTTTCAGAGAATAGGGAGTGGTGGGGACTGAATCCACTGGGACAGAGTATCTTGTCTAAAGGAAGCAGTCTCTACTCAGTGTCAGCTGATTGTGGACTGGCAGGAATTAGGGTCCAGTGTGGCCAGCTCTTACACTTTTTCAAGAAAAGCTAGAAATCCAGATTTGCAAGTGAAATCTCCCAGTGTTTACATGTCAGTCAATAAAAAGCATTAAAGACCCACTGCCGTAACTTTCAAGGTTTTCAGGGTATTCAGACTGTTCCATGAAGATCCACTTCTATCCATCCAAAGGAGACATCCTATGAGAGGGGCAAGTTTTATATCAGGGCCACTGATGTATTAATGGTTGTTAAACATGCCCATCCACCCCGCACAGAGCTGAAAGGGACTGCAAGGGTCATATAAAACCTTTTGTATGAGGCTCCTGCCCCTCTCTGGGCCTCAGTTTCCCCCTCTGTAAAATGGGCATACAAAATCCATCTGTCAGTCAGCTATCAAACAGAACACAATACCATTTACGGAAGGGCTGTCAGAGCCATACGCTTTTACCTGCATCATCTCACTGAATTCTCACTCACAGTAACTTTTATGAGGTAAGTTCTACTACATCCACATTTTACAGATAAGAAACTGTAGCTCTGAGATAGCAAGCAATTTACCTAATGAAAACAACAGCAAGCATTTTAAAACCCTCTTCTTTCCAAGGGTTTTACTGATTTAGTCCTCCCAACAACTCTGCATTATTGCCAGACGTGGTAAGGCATATAAATACTGCAAAAAGGATTCCACCAAGGCAGCCCGACTCCAACACTCTAGCCCAGTGCTGTTCAACAGAAATATATTGTAAACCATATGTTAAAATTTTCTTAGTAGCCACATTTAAAAAGTAAAAGGACACAGGTGATATTAATTTTAATAATATATTTTATTTGACCTAATATATGCAAAATATATTTCAACACGTAAATAATATAAAAATTGCTGAGAGAGCTTACATTTTTTTTCTTGTTAAGTCCCTTGCGTATTTTACAATACAGCGCATCTCAATTCGGGCTAGCTACATTTCAAAGGCTCAGTAAACACATGTGACCAGTGACCACCAAATGGGGCAACGCATTTACAGTTCACTTTATTAATCCTAAAGTTAAAAGCAGAGCCTCCTGTCCTTTGGTTTCAGAGGACACGCAAAAAATAATGGCAGAGAGTTCTTGAGCGTTACTTTGTGCCAGCAGTATGTTGTAGATCTTACACACGTTGCATTCTGTCATCCTCGCAATAAGGAGGGTACTATTTGCCCTCCTCATTTGACCAGGCGAGGGGACTTTCCTGAACCGGGCCCTCTCCCCGCGCCTGGCCGCCGTCGCGCTGCCCTGTCCCGGTCACCGGCCAGGCGCCAGCCCCAATGAGCCCTTGGCTAGCCATCATCCTTATCATTTATAGAAGGGCTGTCAAGAGCTACACGCTAATCAGGGTCAAATGAGGAGCGCCCGCACAGAAAGGCGCGGGTCACCTTCAAGCCCAAGTGTTTATTTGGCTAAGATACCCGACTCAAAAGTCTACCTGGAAACCTTTGGGACGCTTCTGCTCCTCCTGCTCCTTCTCTTGCTCCGGCTCTTGCTCTGGCTCCTCCTCCGACTCCTCCTCCTCCGACTCCTCCTCGAACTGGTGCTCGGAGGCGCTACCATCGTCCAAGGACCATCGCGCACTTACATTGGTCTTCGGCATCTCGGTCGCAGCCGCCTCCCGATGCGACTCGAGAACGCTAGAGGGGGCCACATCCGGGAGCTCATCCTCGGCTTCCGGGTCCTTGCGCGCAGACCTGATCATAGAGAAGCCAGAGGAGACTTCCACTTCCGGCTGCTCTAGGCGCTTCGCACGTGCAGGTAAGCTCCGTGCACTCTCGGTCGGTACCGAGTCCGCCTCCCTCCAGGGTCGCGCCGGCTCTGTCCTCTAGCCGGAAACGTGTCCCTCCTCACCCCGCCCCCGCGCAGACGCAGTGCTGAGCCCACAGCTGCCGGACAAAGAGTGACGCCCGGAGCCGGAGTCATGGCGACGACGGAGCCCGGCTTGGAGGCTACTGGGGGCCCCTCGGCGATGCCGCCAGAGAAACAGGAAGGAGCTGGCCCGAGCTCGGACCCTCAGCGTAACTCTGCGGGCTCCTCGACCGCAGGGTTCTCACCGCCTGCCCTTGAGCCTTCCAGCCCCAACGCCGCGGTCCCCGAAGCGATTCCTATACCCTCGGCGGCGGCTTCCGCGGCCCTTGAGCCCACACCCCGCTCCCCAACAGGCCCCGGCGGCTCTCGGCTGGGCCCCGAGACGTTCCGCCAGCGTTTTCGGCAGTTCCGCTACCAGGACGCGGCGGGTCCCCGGGAGGCGTTCCGGCAGCTGCGGGAGCTCTCTCGCCAGTGGCTTCGACCCGACATCCGCACCAAGGAGCAGATCGTGGAGATGCTGGTGCAGGAGCAGCTACTCGCTATCCTGCCCGAAGCGGCGCGGGCCCGTCGGCTCCGCCGCCGCACCGATGTGCGCATCACTGGCTGAGAAGCGGTCCTGTGGGCGGCCCGTCCGGGGCGATCTCTGTGAACTGGGGCCAGGGTCTCCGGGCCTGAGCCTGGCACCGCACCCCGTGTTAATGAAAAACGAGTTTTGGCAGTTCCCGTCGTCTGGTGTGTCTCTTTTGTTCGTCCTTTGTTGGGTTTACTTTACCGAACCTATTTCCCACCTTCTTTCTGGCTGGTGGCGAAACGAAGTTGAGAGCCCATAGAATAAGGACTTGGTTTCCTATTCCCTGAGCCTTCGTTGGCTATTATGGGCTTCTTAGATGTTAACTGGACCTGAGCCATCCCTCCACCACATCTGGGAAATTTTTCTCCTGAGCTCCCAAGGACCCACTTGCGTTTCCTGCAGGCCAAATAGGCTGGCTCTATTAAATGCTCACTTAACCATGTACCATACCAATACAGCCACCAACGTGCTCCACCTTCCCGTGGATACAGGTTTTGCAACAGGCTCAAGATACTGAGCTATGTTAATGTGAAGCGTTTTACTGCATGCCCTGACAGAGAGAGACTAGTTCTTGTGAGCTCTGGCTTATGCCCAGACTTGCTCACCTCCTTCCTTGCCAAATATTAAGCCTCTGGTAAGATTTAAGAAGCAGAACTCTTTGTCTCAACTTCCCTGGTGGAAAAAAAAAAGCTGAACTGGTGTGAATTAATGGACTATTTACATTACTGAAGGTACTCTTAATTCTTAATGTCTCCAAGTGGCTCCCTTTTATTTTCTAAATAAGGATAATTGTTTCGAAAGGGAAGAAAGAATTTGGCAAGTAATGGAGATGACCTACTATGAAATCTTAGAACCCACAGTTCCGTAAGATTTTTGCCCACCCAGGAAAGAGCTAGTTGGGGTCTGTAGGCAGCTTGGATTGGTCCCAGATAGGTCCTATTGCAGTGAGGCCAGACTTGTTTTCCTTGTACTGCTTTCAACAGTCAAAATCTAAGAAGCCTGCAGCTCACACCACTAAAATGCATTAGCCAGACTGGGTTGGGAGCTGATATGGGACACCTTGCTTTTGAATATTAAAGGCAAATAAATTCGAAGTATTTTTGCTACTTGGGATTTCTTGGCAGCTTGCACCCACCTCCCTGCAAAAGATATATCTGTTAAGATGAAAGCAGGCTTCCTTTAAAAGGTAGTGGTCAGGGGCCGTGGCTCACGCCTATAATCCTTGCACTCTGAGAGGCCAAGGAGGCAGGATTGGCTTGAGCTCTGGAGACCAGCCTGAGCAAAACTGTGACCCTGTCTCTACTGAAAATAGAAAAATTAGCCAGGTGATGTGGTGTGCGCCTCTAGTCCCAGCTAGTCAGAAGGTTAAGGCAGAAGGATCGCTTGAGCGCAGGAGTTTGAGGTTGCAGTGAGCTATGCTGACGCCACTGCACTCTACCAGGGGCGACACAGCGAGACTCTGTCTCTAAAAAAAAAAGTAATGTTTACAGAAGATTAAGTAATACATATTTAAAATAGGGTAAAGAACTTTATACAGTCATGCGTTGCTTAACCATGGGAATGTGTTCTGAGAAATGCACCATTTAGCAATTTTGTCCTTGTGTGAACCTCATAGACTGTACTTACACAAACCTCAGTGGTATAGCTTGCTTGCTACACACCTACCTATGTAGTATAGCCTATTGCTTCTAGGCTACAAACCTGTACAGCAGTACTGAATATTGTAGGCAGTTGAAACACAATGGTAAGTATTTGTGTATCTAAACATAGAAAAGATACAATAAAAATACAGTATAGCATAAATAGCTGAGTGCAGTGGCATGTGCCTATAGTCCTAGCTATTAAGGTGCCTGAGGCAGAAGGATTACATGACCCCAGGAGCTCTAATCCAGCCTGGGCAACATGAGACCCTGACTCTTTAAAGAACAAAAGGTCTTAAAAGATAAAAAGTGGTGCAGCTGTGTAAGGGAGTTACCATGAATGGAGCTTGCAGGACTAATTAGAAGTTTCTCTGGGTGAGTCAGTAAGTGGTGAAGGCCTACAACATTACTATACACTACTCCAGACTTTAAAAACACTGTACACTTGGTATATAAAAAAAAAATCTCTTCAGTAATAAATTAACTTTAGCTTACTATTTTTTACTTTATAAACTTTTTGACTTTTAACTCTTGTAATAACATTTAGCTTAAGACACAAACATATACAACTATACAAATATTTTCTTTATATATTCTTAGTCTATAGGCTTTTATCTACTTACGAAATTTTTTTAATTTTTAAACTTTTTGTTAAAAACTAAGACAAGAACCCACACATTAGCCCAAGCCTACACAGTAGGACCATCAAGACATCACTAGGCAATAGGAATTTTTCAGCTCCATTATAATCTTATGGGACTGCAGTGTATATGCGGTCCAGTGTTGACTGAAACATTGTTAAGCAGCGCATGACTGTAATTCAATAATATGTGACTGAAACATAGCAACAAGAACTTGTTTTATTTTTTCCAAATACAGATACAGAAGTTTGCATGTTTTGCAAATATTGCTTCAAAGCAACATTTCTATATACAGCGCCTTCTGTTCTAATAGCGCGTAAACATAGATATGTATCCACAGTGCAATGTTGGCTCATCAAGGATCCACCTTGCATACACATCACTTAAAGAAACAAAATGATTAGTCAAATCAGAACTGTTTTTGTCAAGGCAATTTTTTATAGGTGGATAGTTTTTTTCAAAAGACAAACTTAGGTAGTGCACATATTTCTAAATGGTAATAGCAATGTTTGCAAATAACAGTTTCCAGTGCTCCAACTTGGGGTTAATTCATCTTGACCCAGGAATTGGGAATAGAGCCCCTCAACATGGCTTTAAATTAGGGAAGCACACTGAGGTTATGAGAACTTGGGGGGAATCTTCCCTGCTTCCCTAAGTACAAAAGTCACAATGAGTAAATTGGGATTATTTCCTTTACTTAAACAGTAAACCCAATAATGGCCACTTGGTAAAATTAGAGTTAATTCATTTTCTGCTTCCATCTTTGAACAAGACACGAAATTGACTCCCTTAAAAGTTACAGCTTCCACAGATACTCGAATTTATTTTCAGAAAAGAAAAATAATCACACCTCACAGTTGTGGCTATAGGAAAATCATCCTGTTTCTTCCCTTTTCAGACAAGCATCACACAATTCTCAAATGCAAGCTGTCTGAACATAGATGCCATGCACACTCCTTGAGCATTTCTTCCCACACCAGAAACACAAATGTTAGCAGTGGGAAACTGCCTCTTACAGAGGAATTATATCAGCTTTATTACAGATGTTATAGCCACATGTATTCCCTCTGATGGATAAGCTACAACAGGTCAATTTATACTTGTCCTATAATTCATTTCATATCAAATGGCAAACAAATCACTAGACAGAGCATCCCTGAAACAGATTTTAGTACAGAGGCCTGAATTCATGATCACAATGACCTGTGCCTATCCATTCCAAAGGCTGCTGGAGATACTGTCATTGCTATTGAGATACTGGCTACTTCACGTTTACATAGTAAATATTTGCAGCATATAACATTACAGATTCATAAACCCATAATTAACTTGTGAGTGTTAATGGACAACTGTGCTTTGATTTTTGACTTTAGTGATAAGAAAACTAAGTAGTGAAACGGGTCACTTTTCAAAGCATGGAACATTTTCTTTAACTTTGCCTAGTGAGGAAAAACAAAACAGATTATAGCAATTACATGTAGAACCGTAACCTGCAAAAGTAACACAAATATTGTCTCAAACGGTACAAATAGGTTGTACCTGGACCTTAAGCAGCATAATCACTTTGATCTCACAAAATAATACAAACAGGAAATTTAAAGTGTTAAAGTATATTAACAAAACAACTCTGAACATACCCTTCAGGGAAGGAGAAAAGCGGCACATGTAAAATCTGAAGTTTGTTTACTACAATATAAAATAAGGTACTTCCCCAAACCACAGTCTTCGTAACAAATCTTTATAGTGAAAGAGTTCGAAATTTTGAGAAACACGTTTTGGACATTAAATAGAACTGGGAAGCTGTGAATATTAAGAAGTGGGTAGAAAATGCTGTCCTTTGGGTTCCAGACCCTGCCTGTTTCAGTTTGAAATTCCTCCTAGATTCTTATGACAGTGAGATTCTAGCTCCTCCACAGGTTGTATGGGCTCTGCTAAAAAAGCCACAGCCCAGCAACTCTGGGGTGAAAGCATACAAAACCTGTCCCTGGTACCATGAAGTCATGCAAGAGATGTGGTGAAAAAAGTGAAGAGTCCTAACGACAAGGCAGGGCAGCCAAGGCTCTGCTCCTTCCCAACCTCCACAGAATGGCGAAGTCACATTCCCATGAAGCTAGAAAATGAAAATGATGCCTGCTGCCTAAACACCATGCCAGGCAGAAACCAGAGGGTTGGCACATGCCCCAACCCGAAAGAAAGGTCAATTAAATAAACTGCAAATTGAATTTACAACTGTTTCCAACTAAACTTTTTTGGCTCTCATTCCATTTATCAGTGGCACGATTTCAAGTGAAGTTTGTGCAAAAAGACTCTCTTCATTCAATGACGTGCACAGAAGAAGGGAATCCCAAGAGTCTATTTGCTACCTTCTTGGTAGGTCGAGATCAGAGTGCCCTGCCCTCCAGCAGCCAAAATGCCCCCTTTGTCCAATGTCTATCACACTCCTGCCCAGATCCCTGAAGTCAGTTGGTGTCACGTGCATTCGGCATGCTAGGTTTATTTATTTAAATATGCGAAGCTCCTCCTGCTGGTGCCCCAGGATTGTGCCCCCATTAGTTTTAGGTGCCCAGTTTCATGTGGAACAGCAGAGGGCGATCTGCTGCACCTTGCCCAGGTCCGTCAGCAGCTGCTTGATGCAATGCTTGAGCTGCGGAAGCCTGGCCAGTGGCTCCGGGGGCTCCAGTTCCCCGGTGTAGTCCAGCCAGCTCTCCAACACTGTTGGCAGAAGAGAGAGAGAAGACCCAGTGAGCTCCCAACACTTGACTTGCAAGAACATCAGCATGAGTTTCAGCACCTTCTCCTATCTGACCACTCATGGGGGGCAGGGAGAAGGGCCATTTCAGCCAACATTGTCTCAACACCTACTTCACAAAGTATTACTGCTGGGACAAAGCTCGAATGCTTTAGAGCAGCACAGTCCAAAAGAACTGTCGGCAATGATGGACGTGGTCTATGTCTGTATTCTAGTGGCTTCTACAGTAGTTCTACAGTAGCCACTAGCCATATGCAGCTGTTGAGCACTTGAAACGTGGCTAGTGCAACTAAGGAACTGAATTTCAAAATTTTATTCAATTTTGATTAATTTAATTAGCTGCACATTGCTGGTGGTTACTGTATTAGCACACAGTCTAGAAGGACCCACTTTTCTCAGTATTATTGCCCACTCTTTATAAAACTTTCCCATGTTGGAAATCAGAGAGCCTGCTGTTTTAGCCTCCTGTCAAGAAAAATGAAAATCTACAGGGACTTAAAAAGGTCTGTTATTATCACTGTAAATTCTGGTTTGCTTCACATTAATTCCTGATTGATACATAATCATCAGTGGCAGACAATACTATTTTATTTTCTCCTTTTATTTTTTTTAGAGATGGGGTCTCACTCTCTCACCCAGGCTGGAGTGCAGTGGCCCTATCAGAGCTCACTGCAGCCTTGAACTCCTGGGCTCAAACGACCTTTCTGCCTCAGCCTCCTGAGTAGCTGGGACTACAGGCGTGCACCACCACACCCAACTAATTTTTTTATTTTTTTGTAGAGATGGGGGTCTTGATATGCTGCCCAGGCTGGTCTCAAACTCCTGACGTCAAGAAGTCCCTCTGCCTGAGCCTCCCAAAGTGCTAGAATTACAGTGAGCCACCACCTGTCCAAGGTTGGTTTATCTTGATGGTGTTTAAATCAATCTTAAATATAAGGCAAAAGTCTGCTCACCTAAATAAAATCTTTAAGCTTTACCATTGATTTTCATGTGTCCTTGGTACCTATCTCAGGGTCTGGAGTGTTAGAACATATATAGAGTACACGGTCTCAAATCAGCAGAGCACGTTAAGAGGTCCTCTTAGAGGCCAATGAAGGAAGCTCAGGCTTACCATCCTCACTACACTGCCCCCTTTGCAAGCCCAGGGCCAGATGAGGAGTGGTAAGGAAGTGAGACATGAGTAGGCTCTAACTTCTCCCCTAAGGTTCCTTTGGCAACAACAGAACATTCCACAGTGCTAAGCCTCTTCTTAGGGACCCTCAAAATCTACTATTTTCTGTCTGGCATTTGATCCTCTCTTAGCTCTCTAAAAGCATGCTGTTCACAGAAAGTGGCATCAGTTACGATTCTAAGGAGCCCAAAGAAACCATTTGGGAGTAGAATAGACACAGAAAACCCTCCAGCTGCCTTAGGTCTCTCTCTCTCTCTTACTGCCCTCCAACAGGGCAACCCCTTCTCCAGCCCATCATCTACCCTGAGTCACCCCCTCTCTAACAGGAAGTACCACCAACTCTCTTCAAGGCTCAGCTTCAATCCCAGGAGTTCCAAAAAGCTGTCCTGTTCGCACTGTCCTCCCCTGGCATGGCCTCATCCACACATGTATGTGTCCTGGCCGCACCTCAGGACCCCAGCTTGTATAACATGTGGCATTTTCCTCTTAGTTATTTCATGTAAATATGTTTTATATCTTCAGTTATAGTCACCATAGCCTGACTGTACCCAGAATCCTCAAACATAAGATTTCTTAATTGAGCTCCATTTTAAAGATAAAAACAAATAACCAGGAAATAAATGAACAATTTTATCTTCAAAAACCAAAACTGGGGCCAGGTGTGGTGGCTCATGCCTGTAATCCTAGCACTCTGGGAGGCCGAGGCGGGCGGATTGTTTGAGCTTAGGAGTTCGAGACCAGCCTGAGCAAGAGCGAGACCCTATCTGTACTAAAAATAGAAAAAATTAGCTGGACAACTAAAAATATATAGAAAAAATCAGCCGGGGATGGTGGCGCATGCCTGTAGTCCCAGATACTTGGGAGGCTGAGGCAGGAGGATCGCTTGAGCCCAGGAGTTTGAGGTTGCTGTGAGCTAGGCTGACGCCACGGCACTCTAGCCCGGGCAACAGAGTGAGGCTCTGTCTCAAAAAAAAAAAAAAAAAACAAAACTGGCAACTTCCTGGGGCTCAAAAGAGACTGAACTGGAGCATGTTCACCATCACAGGTCCAGTCTTCCAGGCCACCCCCATTACCACCACCACCTGGAGAAATATCCAGGGCTACACAAATGACTTAGTCAAGTCCTTAAATCTCCACTGGCTAAAAAGGAGAAGTCTTCATTTTAGATTTTATCAAAGGTTGAAATAAAAGGTTTTTCAGATTAAAGCCTTAGACATCCCAAAAACTCAAGACAAAATTTTAATTCCCCACAGAACTTTGTAAGTAAAGATTTGCTGAGATTATACATTTCCTGGAAGCAGAGCCGCCAGCCACATACTCGCCCTTGCAGAAGGGATTGGACAAGTGAGGCAGGACCCCTGACATCATGCAGTGCTTGTAAGTGCCCGATAAATACTAAAAGTAAGGCTTGTTAAACTTGAGGGGAGAATGGTGAGGCTGAAAAGAAGAAGAGGCCAAGAATACGGCTATCCCTGCAGACTAGGGGGTTCAGACAGCAGCTCATGCTCAGGGTGCATGCTCAGGGTGCATGCCAATGGGCAGGGGACCGAGGAAGGAGCCCTACCATCCAGCTCCTTCTCAATGGAGTCCATCCTATGCGTGACTTCATCCTGCAGAGATTCCACGTGGGTCAGCAGATTAAACTGCCACTGGTGCTGGGAGCTCAGCAGCCCCTCTCCACCTCTGTCCAGCAGCTTCCGAGAAGGGGCTTCCTCAGATAGGACCTTTTTGGAGACATATTCTCTCACCTGGGGATGCAATGGCATTTAAGTTACTGTGCAGAGAAAGCCCCTAACCCCTTTTTGAACCATCCAGTGCTTGCAACCATCTGAAAAACCAGCTGCAGTTTGAATACTCCAAGTCCCTATCGCCCCTTCCTCCTTCCCAGATGGGAACTGGACGGAGCTTGCCTGCTGTGCCAGTCCCAAGCACCTCAGCACAGCACAGACCTCTGGCTCAGGCGGCCCCACAACTGCTTCCCACTGATTGGCCCAATATCCCAGCCTGAAGTAGGCCTCACAGAATGGCTTCCAGAGCCCTAGGATCTGACCAGAGCAGGGCTAGTGTAGACAAGAATTAGTATGTGGGAGTCATGGAAATAAGCTTTAAGTCTTAGTTCTGTCTCTTGCTGAATGTGTAACCCTGGATGAGTTACTTCACCTCTCTGAGCCTCTGTTTCCTCAGCAGGAAGGTGGAAGTAATAAAACCTAGTCTGAAGGTTCATGAGGACGAAATAGGATAAGGTGTATAAAAACAATGCCCAGCTAATGGTCAGCTCAATCAATGGAAGGGATTTTTAACTCTGGTTACATCACTTAAGCCTAGTATTTCCTGATTTTGTGCTATGTGTCAGACACCTCTAAGAAATCTGCCTAGTCCACTGGACTGCAAACCTTTTCTGGGGTTTGGGATTGAAATGGATTCTATCTACTATTTATTTAGTGCTTACTATGTGCAAAGTAACGTGCTGAGGGCTTTTCACAAATACGTTCCACAGTAACTGAGGAGCATTGTCACTGGCCCCGTTCTACAGGCGAGCAAACAGGTCTGATCAGAGAGGTGAAGTAAGCTGCTCAGAATCACACAGTGAGTGGCTGAGCCCAGAACTGAAATTGGGTCTGTCTCAAAAGACTGTGTCCTTACCACCCTTGCCCAACACTGTTTAGACACTGACAAGGTCACAAGGATGAATGAGGTACCCATCCCCAGCCTTGAAGGGCTTATAATCTAGGATCCTCCCTCTCAGCAACATGTGGCAATGTATTTAATGCTGGCGGTGACAACCAAAGGATTAAGTCTGTGAAGTAAGGGTGACAAGGGTGGAGAAGCTCTCAGATCACACACAGCCTCACTAATAACTGAGGACAGGGCACAACGAGACTAATGAACAGTTAAAGATGAAAACATTGGCAATGATACCAAAGGGTTCTGGAAGAGAATGACTTGAATAACAAAAAACTCAGTAGCTCTTGGGAAAACTGATGAACCGGCAAATATTTTGCCAAATGAACCCTTCTTACCACAGGGCTACAAAGTTAAAAGTCAAAGTAACTATCATACAACTGGATTAAAAAAAATTATGCCTAACAAAACACTTATCATTTGCTCATGCTAAGAATTAGCGTCTAGGTGCAATTATAATGTAAACTGCCTTAAAGAAAAGATGAATTTTCCTAACCCTTTTCTCCTTGCTACTTCCCACCTCTCCACTCCTACACCCCCAATTACTATGCCATTTTGTGGGCATTTCCTGGAACCAGTGATCTTTGGCTTAAGTGGGCTCTCCTGACTTTGTGCCCATTTTAGCAAACCAAAAAACATCTATGATAAGCAAATTTGAATACAGTCTTATTAATATCTTTCACAGAACATTTAACTATAGAAGGAGAAATTACAAGCACTCAAACCTGAATGAAGAATAAGTGAGCCACAAACCTTTGGGGAGCTGGGTTTGGGGTCATTGTCCCCCCGGCTTCTGTCTTGGTCTAGAGGCCAGCCCAGGCGTGGGGAGAGGGAATCGTCGCCATTCTCATGGAGGGGGTTCACGGCATCGTCGAGGGCAGAGCCCCGAGTCTCCACCACCAGCTTCTGCTCCACGGCAGGGTAATAGGCTCGGGGCTTCTGGTAGCAGTGCTCGCTGGTGATGTAGGACTCCTCCACGGACCTCGGCAGGGGTAGGGCCAGGGGCAGGGGCTTCTCCACTGCCCCGTTCAAAGTTCTATAGGTTGGGGCTTCCTCCTTGCTCCTGGCGTCAGTGACATGGATGAGTTTGGAATGAGATCTCCCTTCCCCCGAGTGCTGTTTCCAAGGCTGGCACCACAGCTGCAGGTCAGGATGCTCCCTGCTTCTGTTGGGAGGGCAAGCAGGGAAAGGGCTTTGGAGTAACTGGCACCATTGCAAGGGCTTCTCAGTTCCCAAATACTCTCGCAATAGGGAGAGCAGCTCCCACCTGACCACAAACCACCATTCGTTAAGCAAAGGGGAATATGAATCCTCGGTCTCTTAAGAGACCCCCTTCCAGTTAACTCCCACTGCAGACACACACAGTGGGTAGGACTGGACTTGCAGGGGAAGACCTGGCTGCATTTCAGTTGAACCACCAATGAGCAGTGCAGCTGGGACAACTCACTCAATCAGCCTCATTCCTGCTTCTTCCTCTGTGAAACTAGGCTAATTATCTGTCTGCCATCATCCACTGAGTTTTATAAAGGTTAAGTGGATTAATCTGAATGGTAGTACTATGTTGGTGATAAAGTCTTCTTCAAATGTGGCTTACTAAAAATAATAATAAACCATCACGCCTGTAATTCTAGCACTCTGGGAGGCTGAGGTGGGAGGATTGCTTGAGCTCAGGAGTTCAAGACCAGCCTGAGCAAGAGTGAGACCCTGCCTCTACTAAAAATAGAAAAATTAGCTGGGCAACTAAAAATAAAAAAAAAAAAATTAGCCAGGTGTGGTGGCTCAATACCTGTAGTCCCACCTACTCGTGAGGCTGAGGCAGGAGGATCACTTGAGCCCAAGGAGTTTGAGGTTGCTGTGAGCTAGGCTGATGCCACAGTACTCTGGCCTGGAGGACAGAGTGAGACTCTGTCTACAAAAAAAAAAAAAAAAAATCCCAAACAATAAAAAAAAATCATCACAGGCTGGGCGCGGTGGCTCACGCCTGTAATCCTAGCACTCTGGGAGGCTGAGGCAAGAGGATCGCTCGAGGTCAGGAGTTTGAGACCAGCCTGAGCAAGAGTGAGACCCCATCTCTTCTAAAAATAGAAAAAATTAGCCAGTCAACTAAAAATAGAAACAAAAAATTAGCTGGGCATGGTGGCTCATTCCTGTAGTCCCAGCTACTCAGGAGGCTGAGGCAGAAAGATTGCTTGAGCCCAGGAGTTTGAGGTTGCTGTGAGCTAGGCTGACGCCACGGCTCTCACTCTAGACTGGGCAACAAAGCAAGACTGTCTCAAAAAAAAAAAAAAAAAAAACCAAAAACCCATCACAATAACCTGGGCATGCAATGGCACTTGATTACAAAAATGCAATGATGACCCAGGGAGGGGGAAAAAATTAACTATCTCATATATAGGTTTCTAAAAATTCTTCCAAAATCTTCTGTTCTCACCAATTGAAAGAGAAAAGTTTATTATTAAGGAAAAGAACAGGGATTCTTATCCTTTTTAGGGCCACAGGTTCCTCTAAGCAACCACTATGCCAGAGATAGCGTCAAAATAATATCTTCTGCTTACCAATCAAGAATGGTTAGGATGAAAGGATAAACAAAATGTGGTACATACATACAACATGTTCAGCTTTAAAAGGAAATTCTGACACATAAGACAGCATGGATGCACCTTGAGGACATTATGCAAAGTGAAATAAGCCAGTCACAAAAATACAAATGTTACATGATTCCACTTGTATGAAGTATCTAGAGAAGTTAAATTCATAGAGACAGAAAGTAGAACAGTGCTTGCCAGAGGCTGGGGAGACAGGGGGACTGGAGAGTTGTTTAATGGGTATAGAGTTTCAGTTTTGCAAGATGAAGAGTTTTTGTTTTTGTTTTTTGAGACGGAGTCTCGCTCGGTCACCCAAGCTAGAGTGCCGTGGCATCAGCCTAGCTCAAAACAACCTCAAACTCCCGGGCTCAAGCAATTTTCCTGCCTTAGCTTCCGGAGTAGCTGGGACTACAGGCATGCACCACCATGCTGGGCTAATTTATTTTCTATTTTTAGTAGAGATGGGGTCTTGCTCTTGCTCAGGCTGGTTTCAAACTCCTGACCTCAAGCAATCCTCTCACCTTGGCCTCCCAGAGTGCTAGGATTACAGGAGTGAGCCACTGCACCCAGCCAACTTTTGGAGATTGGTTGTGCAACAAAGTGGATGACTTTAGAGTACACAGCTATGTGCTTAAAAATGGTTAAAATGGTAACTTTTATTATGTATATTTTACCACAATTAAAAACAAACAAAAGGCCGGGCGCGGTGGATCGCTCAAGGTCAGGGGTTCGAGACCAGCCTGAACAAGAGCGAGACACCATCTCTACTGAAAAATAGAAAGAAATGATCTGGACAACTAAAAATATATATATAGAAAAAATTAGCCGGGCATGGCGGCGCATGCCTGTTGTCCCAGCTACTTGGGAGGCTGAGGCAGGAGGATCACTTGCCCAGGAGTTTGAGGTTGCTGTGAGCTAGGCTGACGCCATGGCACTCTAGCCCAGGCAAGAGAGTGAGACTCTGTCTCAAAAAAAAAAAAAAACAAACAAAAAACTTATAACTATACACCAAAACAAAACTAATTACATATACCATATCTTGATTATGGTGCACACTTATGTCAAAACTCAATGAACTCTTAAAATAGATGAACTTAATTATATGCAAAATATTCCTTGATAAAGTTGATTTTTAAATAAAAGAATGTTTATCATTGTAAGTGATATATGTTTATCAGTACATGTTTATCATGTAACTGAGAATTTTTAGTAAAGGTCTCAAACTCATCAATCTTATGGTTAGTTTTATGGCTTTCCAGTTTCTCAAATTTGTCCTGCCCCAGACCTTGCAAACCAGACCCCTTCCTATAGCCACAGGCACCACACTTACTGCAAGATGCTCATCTTGAGCTGCAGGCCATGAAGAACCTCAATCACTCTCTGCACATCACCAAGAAGCTGGTGAGTTGCCACGATCTTCTTGGCATTCTGATGGGAGTAATTTTCTTCTAGAAACGTCAGGCCATGCATGTGTCCCCTGCTCAACCACTCCTTGTCATACCAGTACTTGAAGCCAGGCCTCTGACCTAAAGCAGTGACAATGATGGGGTTAAAATGAGGCCCAAAGGAAGCCCATCACCATTGCACAATTATCAAACGAACTACTGGAAGGATAGATTAGTGAGTTCATTTTGTTCATTTATTCATCCAGTGTACCTTTACTTAGCACCTACCGTATGCTGGGCTCTCTACTAGGTGTTGGGAATACAGTAATGAAGAAGGCACGTACGCTTCCTGACCTCCTGGAACTGGCCAGATGTGGGGTGGGAACCTGGATTATCTCTAAATGTAAATCCCATTATTCCCTCCCTTACTTAAAACCTTCCACTGCCTCGTACTGTTTACTGAAGAAAACCTGAAGTCCCAGCTCTGGCTTTATGAGGCCCACAGGACCCAGCTCCTTCCTGCCCTCTGCTTCCCACCCTTACAGGGGCCCCCTTCAGTTTCTGGAGCACATCAAACTCTTTCCAGTCTCATGATCTTTGCTCTAGCAGCACGCCCCCTGTCTAAAGCACTACTCCCCAAAGCCTTAGCAGGGATGTGTCCTTATCACCACCTCAGGGAGGCCTTTGTTACCTCCCAAAGTTAATAGAGCCTCTTCAATGCCTCCTAGGCATTCCTTATCTTATACTTTCTCCCTCTCACAGCACTCTTCATTACCTAGCATAGCCTTGTTTTGTTTTTTGTTTTTTTTAACTTGTTTTAACATCTGTTTCTGTCCCCTGGCCTTGTTAAGAGCCAGAAAAGTAGGAAGCATCTTGTTCATAGCTGTATCCCCAGTGCGTGGCAGAAGGCATCTTCAATGGATTTATCAATGAATGGAAAGAAGGTGCAAGTCCCCCTCCAAGTGTACCACCCACCACCGAACTAAACGGATGATCAGGTCCCCTTAACTGGATGGCTTCAGCGGTCCTGTTCCTTACAGGGCCCCTTAGGAAGGACCGAAAACATAAGCACATGTGACTTGGCAACACTCCCTGCTCAGAAAGCCCAGGGAACAGCTTTCGACAGACTGTTATTTACCTATCAATATCTATAAATACCCTGAAATAACCCAGGTAATCCCTATCAAGGTCTCTCTGGCTTTACTAATAATGCACGTGGTAGGGATATACCTTGATCCCGTTAAGAACATTTTTAAGTAACCTTTAAAAAATGACTCTGTCAGGTTAAACTTTTGGCCTAACCCACTGCAGAGTCAAACAGTCTAAAAATGCAGACCCTGCAAAACATCCAGTGCTCGGTTCAAGGAAGAGTCTATTCAGTCTTGGCGATTAAAGTTATAAAAATTCAGAAAGTGTACAGGATTTGATGAAGATGGTGTGTGTGATTTACAAAGAGGGAAAAGTGGAGAGAAAGACATGGTAGACAAAAAAGATTTTTAAAAGATACCCTAAGGAGCCCTCAGGATTATGTGAGGGAACCTCAGAGGCAGCTGCTGTAGGCAATGGCAGCTGGCATAGCAGGATTCAAAGCAGCACCACTTGTTTTACAAGACAAAGGTCAGAGACAATGGTCTTCATCACCTGTCTGGCATTAACTGGTGGAGCAGTCTTGAGCCAGTCATGTGCCTGGGCCTGTGTCTATTCACCTGTCTGATCTTTTGGCCATATTCTTTCCTTGGGATAAAGGGATAAACAGAGGCTGATTCTTCTCCATCTATGGACTAATCTAGTACAAGGAGATACAGTTTTACAACAGAGGTCATCAGGCCCGTGGGGACCTGCTTGATAGAAAATGAACTGTGGTGACCTGTCCCTCCCTATATAATCAGCAAAATCAAGAGATTTGATCCTGTAAGCCAGTTCTAATTCCAATTTGTTTTATGAGGTTAGGAAAGTCATTTATATCCTCTGGGCACCAATTTCTTCCTTAGAAGCAAAAAAGGGAGTCAGAGCTCCCACCAGGCACACCTCATAGAACCAAAATGAATACAGAAGCAGAAGCTCTCAGTATTGTCCAGCTGTAAGGGAATCAGGGGACTAGAGCTGAGGGAGAAACTGTACAGGTAGCAATGGGAGACAATGTCACCATCCCACTGACAGCAAGACGAGAACCACAAATTTATAATCCACCCCTTCTAGAAAGGGGCACCCAAGAGCCACAAGTGATCCCTGCAGCCATGAAACTAACTGATCCTAAGGAATTCAGTCACTGTTCCGGGTGGCGACAGGCTCCATACAACCAGGCCCTTCCCCTCCCCCTCAAGGGCATATCTCCCTTCCATGTGGCAGTGATGCAACGGAGGACTGATATTGCCACAGGGAGCAGAGGCAGGTTTCTAACCTTCCAACAGCCTCCAAAAGCCAAGGACAGAGCCCACATGCCAATCCTCATAAGCTCTCAAGGAAAAGGTGCTCACTTCAGCAACACATATAATGAAATTGGAACAATGCAGAGATTAGCACGGCCCCTGCACAAAGACGACACTCAAGTTTATCAAGCATTTCCTATATTTTATAGATTTTCAGTCACGCAGGATGAAACTTCTAGACATCTGCTGAACATCATTGTGCTTATAGTTAACAATACTGCACTGTACACTTACTTTATTAAGAGGGTAGAGCTTATGTGTTTGTGTGTGTGTATGTGTGTGTGTTTTGTTTTGTTTTTTTTTTTTACCACAACTAGCTCTCAAGGCCAGACCTTCCACTAGGTGGGCCTCTTCACACGTGCTGTGTGCTGTCTTATTGCTAAGTTCAGGACAGCTGGCCACCAGGTGGGCTAGCAACAGAGGCGAGGAGGAGTCGGAGTCTAGCGATGCTGAAGAAATGAATCTCAAGACCACAGACACTTAGGATGTTTCACGGGCAGCTGTGCTAACAAAAAGGCTACATACTGTTAATGTCCCTGACTCCAGAAATCTCTACCTGGAGGGTCTTGGCAAACATAACAGGTGTATTTCTCGGGCACATTTTCTTCCAGTAATCCCATGCAGACCCCATGCTGCCAGCACTGGCACTCTTCACACTGTTAGAATCAAAGAAGCAACAAAAATTAAACTTAGAAGGTGTCTTCCATCCAAAAGCAAGACCCACCTGCTGGGGGGAGGGCTTGGGAGTGCAGAAGGAGGTGGGAGGGAGGAGCACTCCCTCCTGACTAACAGGGGACTGAGCTGCAGTCACACATCTGGAATTGCACTACCCAATATGGCAGCCACTAGCCACATGTGGCTCTACGAGGAAATTAACAAGTTCAGCTAAAAATTTAGTTCCTCAGTCCCACTAGCTACAGTTTAAGTGCTCAATAGCCACAAGAAGCTAGTGGTTCAATACACATAACATTTAGATCTACTAAACAATGCTGATCTCAGAATAATGACGTTTTCACTCCCATTTCTAGAAGTTTATACTTTTCTAATCACTTTATGGGAATCAAGTAAAAACTGCTCAAATCCTTAGAGAACGGATAACTTGGAGTGACCAAAAGCTGAATTTGAATTATAGCTCAGACATTCATTAGCTGTGTAACTTTGCACACATCACTTCTCCCTGGGCTTCAGTTTCCCCAACTGCAAAATGGGATACTATTCCTAACTCCCCCCACCCCCACCCCAGGACTGCCTGTGAGGATCCAATGGTTCATGTGTAAAAGCTCCTATTATAGAGCCCAGCTTTATGTATTAAGCTACTACTATTGACTACTAAGGGCAAGATAATTCACTCAGACCCCTCCTGGAATAATCATATGTTAGCACTTTCCATTTGTTCTCTTCAAATCTTACCAAAGGTCACACAGCTAATGAGAGTCAAAGGTAGATTAGAACACAGCCTGGCTAACTGCACAGCTAGTTCTTTTAACCCCTAGGCTCCACTTCCTTGCCTGGGTATCGGGGGCGGGAGGGAGAGAAACAGGAGGCAGAATGGAAAAGGAAGACGCTGACAGTGAGGAGGCACTGAGTAACACGTGGAGCCTAAGGATGGTAAGTCTAAGAGCTCAGGGTCTAGAGGAGGAAATGGAGAGGACAGACAGACTTCCAAGGAGATACTAGGACTCTTCAAGCAACTCCAAACCAGGGCCATAAACCTTTAATTACCCAACAAACAGATTAGCCCTGGAAGGCGGACAGCGAGCTTCCTATCCATGACCTTGACAGTGGTGGGCCACCAGCCTGGCCACAAGGGACTAGAAATCCAAAGCTCAAATAGTCCTCAATCACTTGGAGTCAGATAAGCCCCAGCATCAGGAGGGCTTCCCTGGGCAGATGTAAGGCTTCCAGGAAGCTAATCCACATCAGAACCAACAGATAAGATCTGTGCCAGATTTTTCAATCTACAGATGAGGTAACTAAACTCAGAGAAGAAACAAAGTAACGACAAATGCAATTAGTAGCAGAAAACAGACTAATAATTAAGAATCAAACTCTATCTCACCAATGGCTTCGAAAGTCTTGAAAACAGGATTCACCAAAAGTCAATCAAATATAACTAAGTTTCAAAATGATAACTTTTTTCGTGTAGGTGTGGCTAAAATACATTATTCATTTTTAAAATGTTTAAATGTAGAAACAAATGAGAATAATAACCTAAAAGATAAAAACACTAAGAAGAAACATAAGCATGCAAAATATTTATGAAATAAATTTTTAAATATTATACTATTTGAAGAGCACAGAGACTTAAGTCAGTGGTACAGTGCAGTCTATTCCTGGATAGCAAGAGTCAACATCATAAGGATATCAATTATCCTTCGGTTAATTCATAAAAATAATGTAACCCCAATAAAATAATAAATTAACAGCTTTAGAACTAGATAGAATTCTAAAATCAACAGCCAGGAAATATGTGAAAAAGAGCAATAAGGGGATACTAGTCCCATCAGATATTTTATAAATATCATATAGGCACAATAATTAAAATAGAATTGTACAAATATACAGACAGATGATCAATGCAAAAGCAGAGAGAATCCAGACAGAGATTCAAATACAAATGGAAATGAAGTAAATAAGGGTGGCATTTCAAACAGTGGGACATGGTGTTATTAATACAACGGGGTAGCCTAGTTCCCACCTTGTACCAGGATAAAATCCAGGTAGATCAAATATTTATATGGTTTAAACGAATGAAATCTCAGATGTGCCCCGGAACTGGTGTGGCCCCAACCGCTCCAAATTTAGTTTCTTTATCTAGCAAATAATGTTACAAACTCTACCCTCAAACATCCTATGGTCCTTGCTACTTATAGTAAAGTCAATGGAAGAAGTACCATGGTGGATAGGAAATGGGTCGCATACTGTTAGGCAGAACAGCCTTGCCAGGAGGAGCATTCATTACTCACCGACTGAAGAGTTCTATGGACAGATGAAAGCCAGATCTGATCAGGCTACCGAGGCCTGGAAGTACACATACACCCAGGGAGACAGAGTAGAAACTAAAGATCTTCAACATCCTTTCAAAAACAAACTTTAAGAAGAATTCTACTAAAAAATCATAATAGTCTTCATGTTATGTAACTATTTTCTAATTGTATTCCACGAACTTCAGAGGGTCTGCAAATGTGTATGTTTTAAAATGAGACTATTTTTAAAAACACAAAATGCATACTCAAACATGTTCCAGGCTAATTGTTAAGATAATGAAGCCCGTCAGTACACACAATTTTGTATTGCCAGGCTAGCTCAGAATTAGGCTATCCTTAAGAACAAAGCTTTTCCTCCCATCTCTGATTAAAGTGACTACACAGCATACTGTTTAGAAAAAGTCACCCTGACAGTGGCCATATGTACATCATGCTTGTCTGTCATATAACCAAATGGAGAAAACCAAATGAGCCACTGAAGTACTCCAAGTCAGCAACTGTCACTCACGATTCTGACTGCGTATCAGAATTCATGAGACTATGTCTGCCATTCACATTTCTGACCTTAAAAGAGAAGATTATCTATTTTGAGCTTTTAAAACTACTGCTTTTACCTGTTATATGTTTTGGGGTTTTGTGAAAGAATCTATTAGGAAAATGGGTTCTGATGCTAAAAAAGGTTTGAAAAGCACTGAACCAAGGTATACTAAAGGTCACAAATATCAGGTACTATTTGAGATCATTTATGTACCCTTGAATCCCAGAGGTTAACTGTGAGGCTATTCAAAAAGAAAAGACAATCCTTCGAGCTCAAATGTGTATGTGACTGTGCACACTGGTGGTGGTGGCGAAGGGCTGGTCAGCCAGCCTACGCGATGCCATTGTTTCAAAAGCAAATTTTTTGTTTTACTTCTCAACTCTAAGTGTAAATCCCCATAACTAAGGCAGTGTAGGGAAAGAGTCCCTGACTGGGTGTTGAGTTCAAATCAAAACTTGATAACTTATTTAATGGTTCTACAACCATGAGCAAATCACATCTTTGTAATTTTGTTTTCCCAAATAAATTACTTGGAAAAGCCTTTTTAGAGGTGAAATGGGATTTAAGAAAACACTACAGAAACTTTAAATCACTACTCAACTGTACACAGTTGCTCCTATCCAGAAAAAGAGCAGTACTGTGGTACATCCACCATACCATGGAATACTGCTTGGCAATAAAAGGGAATAAACTATTGAAACACACAACTTGGATGAATCTAAAGGAAATTTACTGAGTGAAAAAAGCCACTCTCAAGCACACATATACCACATGATTCCAATAATCAAAGAAGTATATAATTAAAGGGATGAAGAACAGTTCAGCAGTTTCCAGGGTCTAGGGACAAGTGTGGCTCTAAAGAGTAACATGAGGGAGTCCTGTGGTGACAAGACACTTGAGTACCTTCATTGTGGGAGCAGCTACACAGGCTTTACTTGTGACAAAACTGCACGGACTATATGCACACACAAACGAACACATGTATGTAACTGGTAAAATCTGAATAGGCTCTACAGATTGTGCCAACGTCAAGTGGTTTGTTCATTTTGATATTGTACTGTGGTTGTGTGGGCTGTTGGCATGGGAGGAGGACTGGTGGAGGAGTTCATGGGACTTCCCTATATGTTTCTTTGTACCCTCCTATGAATCTACAATTATTCCAAAATAAAAGTGAGGAAAAAAAGCACTGGGAAAATAAAAACCAAAAAGGCAAGTGTGTCTACTCATTCTCTGGTCTTTCTGAAAGTTTGAAGAACTATGGCAAAGCTGTGACGTTCCAAAAAAAAATCAAAGGAAAGGGGACTGTTGAGTAGGAACAACACAAATTCAAAGATAAGAGCCATAAATCCAACTGTATATTAAGTCAAGATCCAAAAGTGAATTTCAAAAAATCAATGCCATGCCAACCTACAGCACTATAAGGGCAAGGAAATAATATTCTAACACAGAAAGCAAACCAAGGGGCCTGGGCCTTTTTCTCATAATCTCAATAAGCTGTATAGATTCTTACTGGGTGGTGGACAGCCACTCCTTTACTGGGAACTCCCAAACCCATTCATTCACACAGTAACAGAGGTGGGCCCCAGTCGGTCTTTTTGGACAATGTAACCCTGCCCACAACCCCCAACCTCTACCATCACCAGACCAAATAACTAGACTAAGGGTGGGCATCCGACCCATGACAAACTTCTTCCCCCTCTGACCACAGGAGACTGTTCCAAAGGCTAATATCTGATCTAAACCTGGCTGGAATTCCTTACCCAGGAATTTGTAACAAAATTGAGACCGAGGTTCCAACCTCATGCTAGTCTGTCTCTTGAACACAAACAAATGTAAAATTGGGGAGAGGGAGATGGGTCACAGGTCACCATTTTACATTTTCAAAGAAAATAAGTGCCAAAAGAAAAACAATCAAACAGACTCCACAGAAAAGCAGAAAATGAGGTAGACCAAGCCTGTCCAGACAGAATTATAGGTTCCTGAGCCTGGCTACATCCCTACCTCTGGGTTCTAGGACCCAGTCTATTTTCCCAACAATATTTATACTTGCCCCTAAAAGAATCCTAACCAACATAACCATGACTTTTAAAAAACTCAAGTTCCCAAGCCAGCTGGGCAGCTGCCAAGACACCTAAGGAATTTATGACAGCCCTTAGTCAGCCAGACCGCAGCCACCCCCACCAGAACCGCCAGGGACAGCAAGAGAAGAACCAGCGGCAAGCAAGTGCTGGCCAGTGATGGGCTCTCCAAGCAGAAGGGAGGTCCCACCTCATAGGTACATCTCAGAGATGGAGATGACAGATACAAATGTCAGGAAAATAAAGCACAAGAAACAGAAGTTATAAAATCAGCCTGCATTACTTTTAAAGAAAATTTACCTCAAAGAGAAAGAATGGGTCCATAGGAAGATTAAACTGCTACTCCACAGATTTGGGTCCATGCTGGTCAACTCCTTACTTCGTGACCAGAGGCATGGCCCTTCCCATTTGTGGGTCCCAGTTGCCTCAAGCAGAGCATGAGAGGTTTAGACTCAATGATTCCTCAAGTACTCTCTTAGCCTATTAATGGGCTCTTATGGCAGCCTGGAATTCTGAGAAAGCCAAACCAAAAAGCAAAGCTCAGTCTACTGCTGTTAATATTATATATCTGGGGCTTCTGATGTGACTTGCCATTGCTGCTGGCCTCAAAATTTCCCTCCAAGGACCAGTTTGTGCTTCTCTAGACCTGTTTTCTGGAAGCTCCACCTACCTGGATCATGAAGTCATTTTCCTCCTGGACCTCACAGATGCAACGGACCACCTCAAAGTCATAGCGGTCATCCCCATCAAGTTCCTCGTCTGGATTGGTGGTCACATCCACATCTTGGCCGTACTCCTCGTCACTCCAAAGAAAGCTCTCAGAAGAGGACTCACTCAAATTATCCTCCTCTGGGAGGAAAGAGAAAACAAGTCACTATTTTAAATTATAGTTATAAAATTATAAAAACCCTAGACTGTCAAGAGTAAAAAAATGACCTTATAGACCCACTGCTCCACAAGCTCTCACAGGGATGGGAAATGGTGATAACAATCTGTTCCTTGGGCCTGTCATTTAGTAATGGCCCAACAAAGTATGATGTCTAGTAATGAACTGAACTTCATTTCTTCATTTCACCAATAGAATGAACCCCAAGGTCAGTGGATGCTCAAGGTCACAGAGCTCACTGGCAAAGGAACTACAACTCCCATAAACCATGCAGATCATCATCCCTAACAGCTCTAACATGTTCCTCAGCCTTACCTCGTCCAGCCAGGACCTGGTTTACAGTCAGTCTGTACCCAAAGCCACCTTTAAAACTCTGGCACTGGGTATAAGAAAGGGGAAGATTCCAGGGATAATCATAATAAATCAGAATCACTATGTCTTAGTGCCTGATTAGTTATAATCACAGCTAACTTTTACTAAGTGCTTATTCTGTACCAGGTACTTTTCTAAATACAGGCATATCTCATTATATTGCAGTTTGCTTTATTGTGCTCCAAAGATATTTTTTACAAATTGAAGTTTTCTGTCAATCCTGTGTTCAGCAAGTCTATCAGCACCATTTTTCCAACAGCATGTGCTCACTTCAAGTCTGTGTCACCATTTTTTAGCAAGAAAGTATTTTTAAATTACAATATGTGCCATTTTTTTAAGATATAATGCTACTGCATACTTAATAGACTATAGTATAGTGTAAACATAACTTTTACATGTACTAGGAAACCAAAAAATTTGTGTGACTTGCTTTATTGTAATACTCGATTTATTGTGATGGTCTAGAACCAAACCTGCAAAATCTCCAAGGTATGCCTGTACTTTCCAACAAATGATCAGTAAATGATCAGCCCAGTGGAGAGCCTCCTTACCAGATGCTTTCACTTTCCCTTTGTGGTTTCCAGATTCTGAGCCATGGAGCTGTGGGCTCATATGGACCCCAGGCTTGTGTGAGGACCCACACCTGGTAACAGCAAATGCCTTGGGTGGAGAAGGTTCTTGGGAGGTGTCACTGATCTCCTCACTGCAGGGGCATTCTGGGAGAACAGGATCAAGACGGAATGAGCAACACCTGACATCATGGCATGCAAAAAAATCAACCTCATCCAACCAAGGTGCCTACTATTCAAATAGCTCTAAGGCTCAGGGATAATTCAACTACAAAGAGGTATGGAGGGAGATTTAGGGATTAATACTTCCAGCTACCTCCGAGACTCTCAAGCCAAATGCCTCCTCACCATCACCCCCTTTTCCTGATACGATTGTTTTTCTAAGCCAGAAGATACACTGAGAATAAAACAAGGCATCCCTTTAATTCCCAAGGTTGGAACATAGATTTTCTAAACATTTTTGTAGGAGCCAGACACACACTTTTCAAGAAGTGACTCCTTTCTTGAGAGGGCTCAAAGATGTGTATTTAAGAGTTATGCGTGTGAACAAATGTAGTCGTTCACCTGTACATCCACTCACACTTTGATGCCTTCAAGTATGTCAACCTGTGACAGGGCACACTGGCCAATGCAGCCAGTAAGAGGGCTTTCAAATGCCAGTCGGGCCTTGTAACACCTGGTAAGTGGGCTCCTGCCCCGCCAGGGCACAGGCTAGGCTGAACCCACAAGCCCTGGTAAAGGCCAGCTGGTCCCTCTGTTCAGCACAGGCTCAGAGACCACAAGGGGAGAAAACCTCCTCTCCCCACTGTGGTGAGGAAACCTGACAAACCCTCAGGAGAAAAATTACCAGGTTTGGTTTTCTTTTTCTTTTTCTTTTTCTTCTTTGGCTTCACTCTCACAAACTCTTTGAATTTCTTCTCTTTATTCTTTTCCTTGTCTTTTGCAGCTAGAATTAAACATAAGTGTTGACATTTTAATGTTTTGTTTTCAATGCTGAGATGTAATTAGGCATGTTCAACGAGAAGAACTGGAACAGGCAGTAGGCCAGGCTGTGCCTGGGAGGTCACTTTCCTTCCCTCTGAGGGCTCTGGAGCTGGCTGCCCAAGGCAGAGCCACTCCTCCAACACTCAGCCTTTAGATCCCGGTCAGCACACTCTGGGCTGCTGCCTGTTACTACTGCAAATGAGGTTTAGTGAAACACACCATGCTCATTTGTTACATGTTGTCTACAGATGTTTTCACGTTTCAACAGCAGAGTTGAATAGTGAGGACAGAGATCTTCTGATCCTCAAAGCTGAAAACATTATCTGGCCCTTTACAGAAAAGTTTGCCAACCTCTACTTAGATCATTGCTACTCAACTCAGCTACATACTGGAATCACCTGGGGAACTTGTTAAAAAGACCTAAATGTGAAGGAAAGGAAAGCAAGGAAAGGAAAGAAAGAAAAGAAAGAAAAAAAAAAGAAAGAGAAAAGCCAATTTCCGTAAGTTTTAGAAGAAATTTTGAAAAGGTTCTCTGTAGTAAGACATAAAATGAGATTTTATGGTAACCTATACTACCACCATTGTGATTTCTATATAAAATAAACAGTGCCGTTAGAAAAGATCCTCAGTTGTAATTAAGATGAAATAGGATTTACATTTGGACTCAACAGTAGAATCACATATCACCTTTTAGTTCTTTTGTCCTGCTGGCAGGGCAGGGGCACAGGTTTGGGAGGGTAGGATGACAGCACCTGTGCTATTCTGTTCCTGCTGGGCTCTGAAGGAGCACCCTTTGCTCAACTGCCCCCACTCATACTGGGAGCACCAAAGCCTTCAGCAGCTGTGTGAGTTTCTCATGGTAACTCTAGGAGTTAGTATTCCTGCTTTCTTGAGGAGGGCCACAGTTCCATGATGCAACTCCTGGAGATAACTTATTATTTTCAATCTTGTGGGATTCACTTGGACCAGACCAACCTAATGCCTGCTTTCTGTGTGTCAGAAAATGTAAGAACTGTGACCCAAGCAGCAGGGCCCTCCATGACACAATGCAGAACCCAGATACTTACTGGGGGAACTGGCAGAGACCCGCTTCCTGGTCAGGTTCTCCTGGCTGGCCTTGTCTGAAGCTGAAGAGCCCCTGGTTTGGACATGCCTCTTTCCTGGGCCCTCCTCTGGCTCTGCTGACTTCTCCATTCCATGGAAATACTTCATGTGATAGTGCAACAGTTTGGCTTTGCGGAAAAATTTTAAACAGTCCACAACCTTGCATCTAAACTTGTTGTCCAGGTCGATAGCTGGTGTGTTAGATGTCACAAAATCATCTGTTTTCTTAAAAGTATTTGTTACTGAAAAAAATAAAAACAAAAGCAAAGATCCTTTATGTTTATCGTAGTTATTAAAAAACATGCATTAACACATGGCAATAGTAGTGAAAGCGTAGCATGCATATATATCCTGAGAAAGCAATCAGGCTGCCATTACCTCCCCAAATTACTGTTAGGAAAGAATGAAAACAACCACAGGTCAAAGAATGAAAGACTAAACTATGATTCATCTTTAGAAAGAAGAGATCAACATGTTTATTTAAAACAGCCATACAGGCCAGGCGCGGTGGCTCACCCCTGTAATCCTAGCTCTCTGGGAGGCCGAGGCGGGTGGATTGTTTGAG